CTCACCTCAGCCTCCCAAAGGCGTGGGATTACAGGCTGAGCCACCGAGCCCGGCTAGGAACACTTTTAAGGCTCCCATAATAGCAGGAAAATGAAGAATGCCATTGAAATCAATTCTATAATAATAGTAAACCAGGTCGGGCATGGTGGCTCAAGTCTAAACCCAGCACTTTTGGAGGCCAAGGTGAAGAATGCTTGAGCCCAGGGGTTCGAGACTAGCCTGGGTAACTTGGTGAGACCTTGTCTCTACAATAAATAAAAAAATTAGCCAGGCATGGTAGACCACCCCTATAGTTCCAGCTACTTGGAGGCTGAGGCAGCACGATCGCCTGAGCCCAGTAGATTGAGGCTGCGGTGGCTATGAGCATGCCACTGCACTCTAGCCTGGGAGACAGAGTGAGACTCCAACTCAAAAAATAAAATAATAATAATAATAATAATAGTAAACCATAACAGTGTCAAGAAGAGAGGAAAAAAGCCAACATACTAAGTACTTTTAGAAAATGTGCTTCAGGTCGGGCATGGTGGCTCAAGTCTGTAATCCCAGCACTTTGGGAGGCCGAGGTGACGGGATTGCCTGAGTCCATGGGTTCAAGAACAGCCTGGGCAACTTGGCGAGACCTCATCTCTACAAAAATAAAAAAATTAGCCAGGCATGGTAGCATGCACCTGTAGCTCCAGTTACTTAGAAGGTTGAGGCAGAAGGATCGCCAGAGCCCAGCAGGTCAACATTGGGGTGGCCATGAGTGTGCTACTGCACTCCAGCCTGGGTGACGGTGAGACTACAACTCAAAAATCAATCAATCAATAAGTATATTACTAATTCACACTGATCTTTTTCCTCTGGTTAATCTAATGAGGTATTTCTGTATTGCTGTTGCATAACTAACAAAATTTAAAGCTGAAACTTAAAATATACAATAGAGATTTCATTTCCAGTTTGATTTGAGAAATGTTTTATTACAGTTTTGTGCCTGTTCAGTAATTTTAGAAAATGCCTAGAGTTCTAGCTCCAACTGGTTTGCTAAATGCTTTTCTGGGAAAAAAAAAAAAAAGTGGCTCACAGTTGAGTAAAAAAATTTGGGTTCAGAAAATCATTTCCAACTTGATTCATGCCTGAGTTCAAGTTCTCAGTATAAGTAAATGGGCCAGAGCCTCATTAGGAATTCAGTTCAGTATATTTCTAGCCTGTGAAAAAACATCTACACAAAACTCCAAATAATTTTATGTAACCAAAGATAATTAAATATTATTGAGCCGAGTGTGGTGGCTCATGCCTGTAATCTCAGCACTTTGAAAGGCAGAGGCGAGAACATGCCTGAGCCCAGAGGTTCAGACCAGCCCGGGGAACTTAGCCAGACCTTATCTCTTCAAGAAATCAAAAAACTAGCCAGACGTGGTGGTGCACGCCTTTAGTTTCAGTTACTTGGAAGACTGAGGCGGAAGGATTGCCTGAGCCCAGCAGGTCGAAGCTGCAGTGGCCATGATCATGCCACTGCACTACAGCCTGAGTGACAGAGTGAGGCTCCAACTACAAAAAAAAAAAATAATAATTTCAGCAAGCTAACTTGTTGTCTCCTGTCCAGTGTTTTGAATGAGTGGACTATACTTGCCTTAGCCACGTTTGAGCAAAATGGTTTCTGCTCTTACTGCACTTAAAATAGTGTCATGACTTCAAAGATCCCCAGAGCTGGAGGGGTCCTTGAGATTCCAAATGGTCAGTTTTACTGAACGATAGGAGGAGAGCTCAATTTCTCTGAGCTACTCACTCCATTTCTGAACATCTGTTAGAAAGTTCTTTATTCTGATTCAAAGCCTATAACATCCACCCACTAATTCTTTCTAATCTGCCTTCTGTAATTCCAAAGAAGAGTTCAATTCTTTTTGACAGTCCTTTACTTTGGAACAGAATAAAATCTAAAAGGAACTTTTCTGGTTTCCCAATCATCTTAATCCTTCTCTCAACCCTTCTCCCTTATACTTTCATTTCTTCTATTTAGCCTTTGAAGCTCTGTTCTTAATTTTCTACGTTCTTTTCCTCAGAGAACAAATCCTTTCTATTGACACCTCTATTTGGCTGACTCATCTATCTAAGCAGTTGCACCCAAACCACAATCTTATATTTTCACTCGACTCCTCACATATTACAACCTCAAGTGAAGCATAATGAAACAGTTTGACCACTTGCCCCCAATTTTGGTTTTTCTCCCCATATGCCTCCCATTTCTGTAATGATGCTTATTTCCCAGCTGCCTAGACCAAAACCCTGAGTCATATATAGCTCTTCCCTTCTTCCTTCCTACGTGAAATTGGTTGAGTTCTTTGAAATAAGGTCTTCATTATCTCCTGCCTACGCTACTGTTGCCATGGCTCCCCAAATGCTCTGTGGGGTTATCCTTTTACACTCCCCCATCATTCCAACATACAGCCATAAGATTCACTTTTCTAAATAACAGATTTCAAAATCATTTCCCTATTAAAAATTATTCTGATGGCTGCCCAATGCCTAAAACATAAAATCTAAACTTCTTAATATAATTTTAAAGACTTTCAACTCTTTTTTTTTTTTTTTGAGTTGGAGTCTCACTCTGTCGCCCAGCCTGGAGTGCAGTGGCCGCTCCCGGTCACCACAGCCTCGACCTGCTGGGCTCCGGAGATCCTTCCGCCTCAGCCTTCCAAGTAGCTGGAACTACAGGTGCGCGCTACACTACCACGCCCGGCTCATTTTTGATTTTATTGTAGAGATGAGGTCTCGCCAAGTTGCCCGGGCAGGTCTTGAACCCGCAGGCTCAGACAATCCACTCACCTCAGCCTCCCAAAGGCGTAGGATTACAGGCTGAGCCACCGAGCCCGGCTGACTTTCAACTCTTAAGAATCCAGCTGAACTTAATATTCTCTACTGTAAACTTCTCCTTCATGGTCCTATAATGTGCAATGTCTATTTCTGGTTTCATAAAAATTAAAAGAAAGTGTGAAATAGAACACAGTAAAGTATATGAAACATAAATATACAGTACCTTGATTATAAAGTGACCACACAAATCAGGAAATCACACTGCTTGCACCCCAGAAGCCCTCTCCTCACCTGACCCTTCTTGGTCACACCCTAGTTAGTCCCTTAGCAGTAAACAGTATGCTGATTTTATGGTAATTTCATGTTTTTCTTTATATTTCTACCACCCAGGTACTTCCTTAAATAACTTAGTTTGCCTGTTTTTGAATTATTCATGTTCTTTCATCAACACTGTATTTTAAGACGTATTCAGGTTACTGCATATAATTCTGGTATTTTCCCTGCTTTAATTCAGGGTTTCTCACCCTTGGCACTACTGACGTTGTGCATATAACACTCTGTTGTGGTGTCCTGGCATTGTGGCATCTCTGGCCCCACCCATTAGATAATCAGCAGCACTCCTAATGTCATCTGGGAGGCAAAAATCACTCCTGGTTGAGAACTATGGCTCTAATGCCTTCACTGTTATCACTCACTCACTCTTGGTGTTTCATTCTGTGAACTTATCACCATCTACTACCACAGAAACTATGCTGTTATGAACACTCTCATACAAGTCTCCTAGAGCATGCGTGTGCATATTTCTGGAATGCGAACTGCTGGATCCTTTCAGGGTGCACATCTTTTTTTTAATTTTTGTAGAGACTGGGTCTTGCTCTGTCGCTCAGGTTGGAGTGCAGTGGCCCAACAATCACAGCTCACTGTAGCTTCGAACTCCTGGGCTCAAGTGATCCTCCTACTTCCGCTTCCCAAATAGCTGGAACTACAGGCTCCAACTGTCACACTTGATGATTTTTTAAATTTTTCTTTATAGAGACAGGGTCTATGTTGCCCAGGCTGGTCCCAAATTCCTAGCTAACCTCAAGCTATCTTCCTGCCGGCCTCCCAAAGTGCTGGGATTACAAGCATGAGCCACCGCACCCGGTCTAGTGTGCACATCTTTATTTGACAACGCTAAACTGCTCTTCCAAAGTGGTTGTACCATATGAGAATCCAGACTGCCCTATTTCCTCGAAAAATTAAAGTACTACTTATAAAATACTGAGACAGAGAAGAGATTACCCACCTCCCAACCAACGCACGAAATCTGTTCTAGCTTCCCGAGCCTCCTTTCCTGCTCTTCCACCCTCATCATAACTACCCTTCACATCCCAACCGACGTCCACCTTTTTGGGGGAAGAGCCCCGCCGTATCCTACTGCCTCCCTGCTACCCATCGTTTGCCAATCACACACTCCCCCAAGCAGCAGGCGCTTGGCAGCATGTAACTGCCTTTTATTTCTTCTTTGAGATTAAAAAACCCCTTTCTGGCCTAGCAGTCATCGAGCTACATATACGGACGTGTCCCTCAAGTACACCTGGAACGCACGGGAACAGATAAGCCCCGCAAATAAAATAGCAGCCAGGACACCTGAATTCTCGCCCTGGCTCCCATTCGTACTAACTAGGATGTGCCTGGGGCATATGGTCTCTCCTCTCCAGGAATCGGCTTCTCCATCTGTAAAAGGAGTTCAGATCAGACGGCCGAGGGCCTTTCTACGCGGGAGCTCGGCAAGGAACGGAACTCCATCGAATCCGGCCTGAGGATGGACCCGGAGTGGGCCGGGGGCGGGGGTTCCTCGGCAGTCGGGGCTGGTTGTTTGGAGGCGGGGGGGGGGGGGTGCTCTGTTGTCCCCCGGGGCTCAGGAGAACAGGAATGATGGCTGTCCACCACCGGGGCGGGGACCGGCGGGCACGGAGGGCCACAGGCCTCCCCCCTTCGTGTGCCCGACACAGCTGCCGCTCACCGGGCATGAGACGCCTCGGGGGCCGGCCACGAGCCAAGAGAGCGGGAGGTCCTCGGCGCCCACTCGCTCACCCGGTTGGGATATTCCTTCTCCACACAGTCCCCACACATCGCGACGCCGTCGACAAAGCACGCCCTCCGCCGCTTCCGGGAAGACGAAACCTCGCGAGAGCGTCGTCGCATGCGCCCTAAGGACTCCGCGCCGGACTGGGGTATGCCATCTCGGGAACGGATTCAAAGTCTCCGCCCCCTAGCAACGGTTGTCAGCGCGGGACGTAGTCTCCCGGGCAACGGCGGTAGGCGAAGGGCGCCACGTCATAAACCCTCCTGCAACTCCGAGGGTACCGCGAATCCGCAGAGGTGGCTGGAGATGGATCGTGGGCTGAGCGAAGTACCCACAGGCGCCTTCTGAGCTCAGGCCGACCGGAGGCGCGTCACAGTTCACAAGAAGGGGATTTATTTCTTGCTACCTCGGCTCACTCTGTAATCAAATCTGAAATGTTAATACCTGAGTACCTGTCTGTACCATTTCTTCAGGCAATGAGTGCTAAGGGGTCAGATCTCGGCAGGTGAATGAACAATAACTGAAATATTTGGGAAGAAGCGCTTAGAACTCTTCAGAGAATCTCCTAAAAAGAACACTTAAAATGTTAATAATAAATGACATGCCGGAGTCCTCTGGAAACATCTGTGTTTTCATCTCTCTGGGTGTCACAGAAGTGCTTTGGTGGCCGCAGGCATTATGTCAGTAGATGGCCAGGGCAGTGGTCCTTGCGTTATTTCCCAGTTTTGTGGCTCTCAGAGTGCTTGTACTAGGCGCCCTGTGTCTTCCTTTCCTTCTGTATTGGAGACAACTTATTTGCAGTGGTGTAATTAACCTGAATACGAATCTCCAAAGTCTAATCTCTGTGCTTCTAAACAACGTGTCTTCATCACACCAAGCTACTCCAGTGGGAACATCCTCATCCATCCTCAGCTCTGCTTTATTGCAGTAGGTCAGTGAAGAAAGGTCGGGGTGCTAGGAGACTCTGGGATCCATATTCTTCAAAAATGACATTTATCATTTCAAAGCAAGCGGGTTTAATTGGGTTTGCTATTCTATCTTCACTGAAGCATTGAAATTGTAATCTTTAGTACTTCAGCCTCTGGCAAGTATCTGCAATGGTTACTAAAAGTCACGGGTGTGCTAAGAAACACTGCACAAACTACAGCCATCAGAGTTTGTTCTTGGAGTTATTATTATTATTGTTATTATTATTGTTGTTATTTGAGTCAGGGTCTCACTCTGTCGCCCAGGCTGGAGTGCAGTGTCACGATCAGATCTCACCCCAGCCTCAAACTTCAGGGCTCAGAGATCCACCTCAGCCTGCAGCATAGCTGGGATTATGGGTGCATGCTACCATGCCAGGCTATTTGTTTGTAGAGAGGAGGTCTTGCTGTGTTGCCCAGGCTAGTCTTGAACTTCTGTGCTCAAGCAATCCTCTTGCCATGGCTTCCCAAAGTGCTGGGATTACTGGCATGAGCCACCACATCCGCCCTCTTGGAATAATTATAATCCTCCCATTTGTATGACATTTTCAATCTTTCAGAAGTGTCCTCATTTCAGTTTCTATTTTTATGCTCTTACAACCCTATAAGATTGGTAAGAAAAGTATGTCACCCCTTTTCAGATGAGGAAACCGAAGAAATAAGTGGTTAAAATCGTGTTTATGGTAATAAAACTACTTGGTAGCCCGCCAGAACTAGGACTCTTGCTATCCTTGGCTCAACTTTTTTCTGACACAGTAGCCACTAGCTACATGTAGCTATAAAGCACCTTAAATGTGGCGAGTTAGAACTGTGATGTGCTGTAAATACATCTTTCACGCTAGATTTGGAAGACGTAGTATGAAAAAAAGAATGTGAATCTGGCGACAGGAAAAGAGGCCTCATTTGCGCAACTCCACCAGTCCTAGGTGGTAGGCCTTCACTCCACGACAATGGAGAAGACGCCTGAGAAACAGGCCGCAGAGTCCGTGGACTCCAGAGGGAAGGCGAGTCTGGTGAGCCGCTGCAGGTCGCTGGCACGCAGCGGGCACCGCAGAGTACTGCTGTTCAGGTTAAGATCACAGACAAGGCCGGACGTGGTGGCTCAAGCCTGTAATCCCAGCTCTTTGGGAGGCCGAGGTGAGAGGATTATCTGAGCTCAGGGATTTGAGACCAGCCTGGGCAACTTGGTGAGACGTCGTCTATACGATTAAAAAAAAAAGCCAGACGTGGTAGCGCGCACCTGTAGTTCTAGCTACTTGGAAGGCTGAGGCAGAAGGATCGAAGCCCAGCAGGTCGAGGCTGCAGTGGCCGGGAGTATGCCATTGCACACCAGTCTGGACGATGGAGTGAGACTCCAACTCAAAATAAATAAATAAATAAATAAATAACAAAGCAACAACCCTTAGAGTATAAATCGATGCCTGATGCAAATGAAGAAAAAACTCCAGAACACATCATACAAGAAAAACAAATTGTAGCTAAAATTGAAGACCTGGAAAATGAGCTTGAAGAGGCAAAAATTGCTTTTGAAATGAAAAATCTCGCATTAGACAGGATGCAACTTTCTTTCTTTTTTTTTTTTTTTTTGAGTTGGAGTTTCACTCTGTTGCCCAGACTGGAGTGCAGTGGCCGCTCCCAGCCACTGCAGCCTCGACCTGCTGGGCTCCGGCGATCCTTCCACCTCAGCCTTCCAAGTAGCTGGAACTACAGGCGCGCGCTACCACGCCCAGCTAATTTTTTGATTTATTGTAGAAATGAGGTCTCGCCAAGTGACCAGGTGGGTCTCGAACCTGCGGGCTCAGGCAATCCACTCACCTCAGCCTCCCAAAGCGCTGGGATTACAGGCTGAGCCACCAAGCCCGGCTGGATGCAACTTTCAACTGCACTTAAAAGAAACCTGAAGAAAGGTAACACCAAAACTAATGTGCTTATGGATAACATGAAACGCATATTAAAGCTAAATAAATTAATAATGAAATCCCAGCAGGGATCTTGGGACTTAGAGGAAAAACTGCTTGATGTTAGAAAGAAGAGATTGGAATTAAAACAACCTTCAGAAAGTAAGCTTTTAGAGCTACAGACTGAGAAGAACAAACAAAAATAATGTAGCCGGGCTGGGTGTAATCCCACGCCTTTGGGAGGCTGAGGTGAGTGGATTGCCTGAGCCCGCGGGTTCGAGACCCACCTGGGCAACTTGGCAAGACCTCATCTCTACAATAAATCAAAAATTAGCCGGGCGTGGTATCGCACGCCTGTAGTTCCGGCTACTCAGGAGGTTGAGGCGGGAGGATCACTGGAGCCCAGCAGGTTGAGGCTGCGGTGGCCGAGAGCAACCACTGCACTCCAGTCTGGGCGACAGAGTGAGACTCCAACTCAAAAAAAAAAGAAAAAGAAATAATGTGAACAGAATGGAAAATTTGGACACGATAAAGACCATATAACAAAACAAATTGCTACAGTTACACTACATGTGTTCCAGAACCTCATTTGGGGAAGTAATGTCAACTGGGCAAAGGATTCTGCCTTTAAGGAAACTGTTCTGCAGTTTGCTCTGATAATTGTATTTTGTTTTTGTCTTTGATGTCGTTTAAAATAGCAAATTCCAGGTGAAATGTATTTTCAGTGTTTTTGCACTAATCCAATACTGTCATTTTTGTTAGTTTTAGTTAGCACTATAACATGGAATTGTTTATTGTTTTATTGTCTATTGTTTTAAATATCATTACCTTCCAAGTAATGCTCAGCTCCTCTCCCTCGATACCAGTAAATCAAAGCATATTTCTAGAGGTTTTATTCAAATCCAGGGAGCCAAGCTGGGCTTCTGCCCTTTTTTAAACAGTTCTGCGCACCCTTCAGACTTTACAGTCCACTGTTAAAAGTTCAGGGTTGTTGGTACCTATACACTGACTACATGACTAGCAGAGCATTGTATAGAACTTAAATCAAAACCATATTTTGTCAATAATGACATTTATGGCCCATATTTCCTGGCTTCAGTTACCAGAGGTATCTCCTGGCTTTTTATCAGTAATGCCCGACAGAAGTGTTAATCAAGCTTGCCACAGAGTGGAGGGAGTTAACAAGGCCTAAGACGTCATTCATTACTACATGTTGTTATACACAAGACTTACGATTACCTTGATACAGAAGTTATGTGATTACATTGATAAAAAAGCTACACAAATCACATGACCTATGATTACCTTGATGCTATATTATTCAAACTTGTGACTACTAAGAAAAGGGAGTAAGTGAGAATTTACATCTCTCAGTTAATTGGCCAGTCTGCAGGGAAGTTAAGGATTGTTTGAAGTTACTTACTGGGAGTGCATAGGAGATAAGGACAGCACAACTTTTGTTAACTCTCAGGAATGTGGGTACGTGCAGGAGTGCTGAATCCTTGCCATGCCCTTCTCTAGGGAATATGGCAATAGTGGGTCTCTGTATCAATATGATAATTAGAGTGACTAGCATACTCTAAAAAAATCTGAAAATCTTAGCCTTGGAAGGGTCCTGAAAGACATCCAGTCCAGCCTTCCACTGAGAGTGGACTTTTTTTCTACATTTCTGGCAGTTCTAACTCTTATTTGGAGTATTTCTGTGCATTGTGCTTTTGTTTGTCAACCAAAATTTTCATAAAGCATATCCGGTGTTTATAGTTGTGATTATTTATAGTAGAATTGGGAGTGACATTTTTCTTTTTGTATTTCTTTTTTTGAGTTGGAGTCTCACTCTGTCGCCCAGACTGGAGTGCAGTGGTTGCTCCCGGCCACTGCAGCCTCGACCTGCTGGGCTCCGGCGATTCTTCCGCCTCAGCCTTCCAAATAGCTGGAACTACAGGTGCGCGCTACCACGCCCGGCTAATAATTTTTTGATTTATTGTAGAGATGAGGTCTCGCCAACTTGCCCAGGCTGGTCTCGAACCCGCGGGCTCAGGCAATCCACTCACCTCAGCCTCCCAAAGGCGCGGGATTACAGGCTGAGCCACCAAGCCCAGCTTCTTTTTGTATTTCCATATTTAGTATGTATGCATGTTTTTTTTGGCATTAGTTTTACAAGTTAAGAAACAAAAGGAATAAGGCTGTGCACAGTGGCTCATGCCAAGGTGTGAGGATTGACTGAGCGTAGGAGTTTGAGACCAGCCTGGGCAACATAGTGAAACC